TTTGCATTGAAAAGTCTATTTTGTCACTTTTAAAGATTATTGCACAATAGAAGGCTTAAAGTGAAACCCTAAGCTATTTTCAAATCCCTATATCTATTTTGGAAAATCTATATCTATATGCATTGAGAAGCTTGCATGATAATTATATTTTCAATATGAGAAAGAGAAGTTATATGAGATGTATATGTGCATTGAGAAGCTTGCATGATATCTAGATTACTAGCATGAGAAAAAGAAATTGCATGTGATATATATATGCTATTTATATAAAGTGAGGAAAATCTATGTTTTGCAAGTTCCCGTTAGGACTATGTCCTTACGGAAGAAAAGAGATAGAAACGGTCAAAGAGGACCGACAGAGCATTTTAGAAGTAACTTGGTAGAACAATCCCGAGTTGTTAGGTTCGATACTACCCGCTAGGCTTGTAATCCTAGTTAGGGGGTGTGCACACTGAAGGTACGATACCTAATTCTATAGAGATTAAGAACCACGAGTACCGATTCTGTGGGCGAGATGAGCATTAGGCCGGCCAGATTTGCCGAGCCCGGATAGGTCCATTCATGATTCGTGAAGTTCCTACCTCCCCCACAAGTTCAGCAAGAAAGCAAGAAAGTAAGAAAGAAGAGAAAAGTGAGTCAAGTGACTCAACAGAGATCCTCCACAGAAAAGTATTTTTTTTTTTTAAATAAAGAGCGAGAGTATAAGTATACATATAGCATCATATCCTTATTTATAATTTATATCATGGCATAGCATATGTCCTATAGTGTTTATATGAGAAGTAAAGTATCATTCATTGCTTGAGTATTAGCATGAAAGCATGATCATATCTGTTAGCATTAGTTCATGTCAGTATCTATCTTGAAAGTATCAGTATGATTGTAAGAAGTGCATAGTAGCCTTACAGAAGATTTGTATATATTTTCAGTACATGTATGTGAACAAGTATGTGTTATGAGTTAATGTCTGTTGACATGAGAATATAGGTTGTTGAGCATATAGAAGTATATAAGTATATCTATTGAGATCTTTTGACTGAGTGTCTTGATTGCTTACGTTCATACTTGAGAATGTGTATGAATGCAAAATGTTTTCCAACCTATATCTATAGTATGTTACAGGGTTGAGTGGCTTTATACTTAGCATTATATGCTAACGAGTTTATTTTCCTATGTGTTTTATAACCCCTTTCCGGTGGACCCAGTGTATGATGAGAGCGCGCAATTTATAGTAGTGTGTAGCTCTAGTTTCATGTTGAGGCTAGACTAGTTTTCCCTCCTGTTTAGACTTTGTTGACTATGGTTGTAGCTAGACTACAGTTGTTTTGGTGGTGCGTAGACACCGTGGATTGCTTCCCCCTTTATGATGTTTTGATGAGCTTTGACTCCAGTTTAGTAGTTCTGTTTGCCTGTGCAGTTACTCGAGAGTGGGTAACTGTGGCGGTAACATTCCCCTCAGTTTTTGGGATTGGATTTTAAATCCTAGTTTATCTCTAAATTCCCTTGTTTTATTCTATTTAGAATGATTATTTATAGGTTCTAGAGTTTAGAAAAAATGGGTGTTACAGACCTACTCGATCAAGGTTGACCCCGACCTCGGCCACAAGCACATCTCCAAGATAGCCTGAGTGAAGGTCCCCGGGAAGTCCAGTTCGGAGGCCTAAACGGTCCTCCCCGTGCAAGCTCAAGCTCCCCACTGGCTAGACCACCTTAAGGAGTACAAGAAGATAAACGTCCTCCCCCAAGCGAGGGGGAGGCCAAGCTCGTGAAAAGGAGGGTCCCAACCTGCCTACTCCTCGAGGACACACTCTACAGAAGGTTCTACGACGGCACCCTGATACTCGACCTATACCTCAAGGAGGGCCACCGGAGAGACCCAGTCTCCTCGTCCTACGGCTTTGAAGCCCGGACCTCCTCCGAGGTAGCCATACCTTCCCCCTGGGCAGAAGAATACGACCCTAACGTCAACGGGGACAACCACTGGACCTCCGCGCCGAGAATTACCAACGCCAAGCTAAGGCTTACCACGACCGCATTATCCTCGTCCTATTATTATCGGGTTTAGTAATTTGGGTTACCCCGGGTTAATTAAATCCATCAGAACATTATGAACCTTTTATATGAACCTCTATTAGTGTTTATGTAAATTAATATTTAAATTTATGAACATATAAAGCAAATATTATGAACATTATACATTATAATGTTATTAAACACATGATACATTATATTAGTTGATATTTAATATAAAATGATATTATTTTGAACTAAGACTCACCATATAAAGTGAATCATGCTCCATGATATAATTTGCCGTAGCTCACCCAAATATCTAGATTTCGAAATCATGCATTTTCATGTAATGTGCGTTTGCACTATGCAGATGCACCAATACACCATTATTTTGTTTTGTTTTCATTTTACATATGCAGTATATATTTTATATTTATTGAGATTCCATCCTATAATCACCTATTTGAAATGGTAACAAATGTACCATCACACTACATAATAATTGACATTTTATTTCATATTTAATTGACATTTTATTTCATATTTAGTTACACGCATATAGTTATATTGAAAATCTGTTCCACTTAATTTTGTGTATTTTATTTTGAAATTAGAACATTTCTTATTCGTAAAAGAAAGAGTTAATTCTACTGGAGGTCCCTTGTCTTTGGTGGCAATTTCAAATTAGTCTCAGACTATCGTTTTTTGGACAATTTTAATCCTTCTCATGATTTTTTCTATTTTTAGTAAGGACATTTTTGTCTCTTCATATTTTTCTTTTGTTATTTTTCGGGTTTCAACCAGTTTAATTGGTTTAGGACTTTACTAAAAATTGGTTGAAAAATGTGGTTACTAAAAATCACAGGTTACCTAATGTCCTAAACCAATTAAACTGGTTGAAACCAAAAAAATAACAAAAGAAAAATATGAAGAGACAAAAATGCTCTTACAAAGAATAGAAAAAATCATGAGAAAGATTAAAAATGTCCAAAAAACAATAGTCTGGGATGTAAAATGACAAAAATGATAGTCTAAGACTAAATTTGAAATTGCCACAAAAAACAAGGGACCTCCGGTGGAATTAACTCTAAAAGAAATGTCTAAATTTGTTAAAATAATTTAGAACAAATTGCACTTTTGGTCCTGTGACTATTAAGGTACTGATAATTTGAGTACGTGACTTTCAAAACTCTCAATTTAAACCTTTAACTATGCAATTATTAGCAGATTTGGTCCTGCCCGCCAATTTTGACCGGAAAAATGTAATTGGGTTTGAATTTTTTTTTTGACGAGGTTAAAACAGTCATTGCAAGGGAAAATAAAAGGGGGGAAATTTCATCTGGTCGCTAGGCGGCGGTGAACTCGTCCTGTTTTGAGAAGTCCAAAGTTTTGGCCCTTGATTGTAATATCAGCATCTTGCTTCTGATCTTCGTGGATTTCAATGACCCTCCCATGAAAATCCCGACGTCGGATTCTTGTAACGACGGGAGGTGTCGGATGGAAGTTGCGCTGACGGTGGATGCTACCACCTCCCCCTTTTGTCTCAGGCGCTAAATCAGAAGCAATTGGTCGGCCGGAGAAGAATCTACAAACACACAGTACAACTCTCATCAATCATATTAATCCCTTTAACCACAGCTCCTTCGATTCCAGAATGGAAAGCCATTATTATGGAAGTCTTGATGTTATCTTCAACCACTAGCTTCAATTTCACCCCAAGATAGGATACATATATTTAGTTATTTATTCGTGATTTTTGATGTTGACTTCGTTGGTACTCGGCTGTGGGAGTTGAAATTGGTAGAAAAGAAGAATTGATTGCGCCCAGGAATTTGTTCTTTAGCTATGTAAAAGTTCAGTTTCCTGCTGGGTTTTGGCTTATTTGGTTCATTTTTAGGAAAAACTTGATCTGCTCGTTTTGGTTCGAGCTCACTCGCAATGACTCGTGGTCGAATCGATTGTGCGGTTCTGATTAAGCATTTTTATTTAAATGATTGCCCAATAATAAAAATAAACAAATAAATAAAAGAAGAGGTGTATATATGCAGAATGGATGTGTCTGGCCTTGAGTGAACTGAGATGGGACAAAGCCGCCGTTAGAGAAGGCGGCGACGGAATATTGGCAAAAGCTACGGAGTCATCCACAAACCAGGAGTAAAAGAACCAAGAAGAAGATGAAGAAGAAATGACTTATTTGCCCCCAAATTAACAAAATTAAAATGGATTAAAAGATTCCGGCAACAAATTGGCCGGCAGGACAAATCTGCTAATAATTGCATAGTTAAAGGTTTAAATTGAGAGTTTTGAAAATCACGTATTCAAATTATCAGTACCCTAATAGTAACAGGATCAAAAGTGCAATTTGTTCAATAATTTATTTTAAAGTGACCTTAGCAATGTGTTTTTTTTATCAATTCTTTTTCCTACCAATTAAGAGAGTGAGGGTTGAGAAAAAAGAGATAAAAAGAAAAAGAAAAAAAATTGAAAACACGAGTCCAACCCGCTCACCATCTATGCATTTTTTTCTCCCCTTCTATCCCCCAAAAATTCATACTCTCACAAATTTTCTTCTTCTTTTTACTCACATCTCTCTCGTCCGACTCATTTAAGGTTGCATTTGGTTAGAAACTCTTTTATTTTACAATCAGATTTGATACTCATTATTATAATTATTTGTATATTTTTACTATCTTATCATCATATTCAAATTCTTTATTAATTACGGAGTGTTAAACTATAAAACTCATTACCTTTCTCGTGCTCCTTTTGAATATATGCATTATATTTTCTGAAATGCAAACCATTACCCCCAAAGCCCACTGGACAAAACTAATAATAATATAATGTCGTGGAAGTGAAACAATATATAATATTTTTTCATCTTCATGCTTAATTACACTACACTGTCACTTTTTACAAATCCGCTAAATTGAAATCAATTAACAAAAATGGACAAGTGGATACACACTTTACTTTACAAATGGGAGTTATGAAATTTACTAATACATTTAATAACAAGGCATGTTAAGTTTGGACAATAGATCAAATTGCCCAAAACTATACAAACATAATACACTTCAAACCCAATGGGTAGCTCAAGTAGCAAATGAATTCTCTTTGTGGGGAAAAATTTCAAGAATCGGGATAAGGGTTCAATTCCACAAGTGACAATTCCCTCTGGGCTAGCTTCCATGCCTCTCAGAGCGAACGGGGATTAGTTGGGTGAACCCAGACCTCAAAACAGACGAAGAAAGACCCAGAACACCTTGTACTTTACACAAAAAAATACACTTCAATCTTCAAGTAGGGCGGTTTTGGGATTGCTGTGCTACTAGCAGCCCCAATCTTTGGTAAGCATCTAAGCAGGCGTGGGAGTAATCTGTGATGGAATGGAAAAGCTGAGGCAGTCTAACCTTGAGATTTCCCAATGATTTCTCCCTCACTTCAATGCACTGCTTCTGGTGAGCCTCGATTTCGTCTTCTAATCTCTTCTTCAAGCTCAACACTACAAACTGCTTCTCAGCAATTGGATCTTTGGGATTTGTTGTCTCCATTATTGCACCAACTTTGTCAGCAGCCTCCATTGTTCTGCGTTGCATATACTTTTGGTACCATTCTTCGAACGCCTGCCTCTTTCGAACGTATTCTTTTCTAGTTTCCTCACACTTTTCCTTGAGCCTCACTTCTTCTTCCTGCTGAACAATGATGGTCCTAATCACGGCTTCGAAGGAAGCAATCGCGCTTTTAGCGAGCTCATCAGGGAGCTTCTCGAGAAGCTCATGCCAGGCTTGAAGGAGCGGCTGAATTGGCGGGGGAGGAGGAGGAGGAGGAGAAGAGATTGTTTTGTCCTTGAGGCTGCTGTTCTCCATGGGAATCAGGTTTAGCTTCAGCCAGGCGTTTAGGGCTTGGATGTAACTCTTTTGGTTATTCACAAGATTCTCAAACTGTTGTCCCCAGTCTGCAACAACCTTGGCAAGCTGGATGGTATGCTCAAGGTGATGCTTGCTTGTTTCAATGGGGGTAGTAGTAGTAATGGAGATATCAATTGATTTGAGGTGAGTAGCAATGTTCAGCTGGTTTTCATGATGTGTGTACATGGATTCCCACATCCTGCCCATCCTGCAAATCAAATATTCAGGGACAAGTAGAAGAAATGGTCACAAATATTTGAACTTACCCACCAACTACTAATCTGCGCCAAAAACTATTACTAGTAGCTAAGACGCAACTTTACTTGACCGGCCCAAGATCAAGCGCTTACCTCTCACGCCAAAAGCTATAGCTAATAGCGAAGACGCAACTTTATCTCCTTATAGACCATCATCACATTTTCGAGATGCTGGACTTTCTTTTACTAGCCTCAGTCCAACAATCCCCAGTCACTAGGTGCTAGTCTTGGAATTTTTCAGTCTCTGCACAACAATCCTTCAGCCACCGCCCAACAATCCTTCAGCCACCAGGTGCTAGACTTGGTCTTAACTGGCCTTTCGCCCAAGAATCCTCCCGCCACCAGGTGCTAGACTTGGTCTTTACTGGCCTTTGCCCAACAATCCTCCAGCCACGGGTGCTAGACTTGGCTTTTATCGGCCTCCGCCCAACAATCCTCCCGCCATGAGGTACTAGACTTTGTCTTTACTGCCCTCCGCCCAACAATCCCTCAGTCACAATGTGCTAGATTTGGCCTTTACCAACCTCCGCCCAACAACTATGTACTGTAATTACACTTCTGTTGCCATTTCAAATGGGTGGTCACAGGACATATACTATCTTGTAAAGATTTATCAGTGTTTCAAAAAAAAAAAAAAACTTACCCATGAACAAGGTCAACAAGTTTTGGGTACAATTGCTTGTCTCGAATAGTGTTCAGTTCAGTGAGGGTTGAATCCAAAGATTGCATGTCAACTATATAGCGTGTATGCAAATGAGTAACACCAGCCTTTGTTTTCTCCAATAATGCCTCAGAATTAGTAGCATTATTCCCCTTTTTCAGCTTGTTTAGCAGCCTCACTTTCTTTTGATATTCATGTTTTATCAGTTCCCCAGCCTATTAGCCAGCCAACATAGAATAATAAATTAAAGCAACATTTATGGTTAACTAACTCAAGAACAACATTAATTAGTAAAACTAGATAAAGTATGTATAATGAATGAGACGAACCTTGACTTCCTGGTATAATTTCTTCTCCCATGCCAGCAACTTATCCAAAACACCAGCATGTGTCTCATATTCATCACTGCCCAACTCATCCTTTGTATCATTATCACCATTACCATTACCATTACCATTGGGTAAACCTTTAAATGAATTGTTCCATGTAATAACACGCATAACCCTTGCAGCATGGTCAATATGTCCTGTAAATACAAGGGGGCCAAAGCACCAGATAATTAAGACCCTAAAATACAGAACAATATAATGATCAAACAAGAATGGTGAGACCCTTAAGTTAGAGTTGAAATGTAAAATGCAAAATTCCAAGTTTAGGAGAATATAAGCAAATCTCATTCAAAACATAAAAGGGGTGTTTTTTTTTTTTTGAAAATAAAAGGGGTGTTTAGTAAATAGTTGTTAGCTAATTGAGCCAGTGAGTTTGACTAATTGATAAAATTAGCTATTCTATAAAGATGGCTGGTAAATTAACTGTGAGCTCATAGATATAAAATGACTTTCTCAAAAAGCTTATCGAAAAAAAATTGAATTGAACAGTTTTTTGAATTTTAGTGTTTTGGAGCAATAAATTGTTACAAATTAATCAAAAACTCATATTCGTTGTCTAACCAAGTTAAACATCTAATAGTGGTCAAACCAGTTAAAATTGACTGATCTAACTATTTTATCAAAGATAGCCTAAATTAAGAAGAAATTACCTGGATTTTGAGCAAAATTGGAGTGGTAATGCAAGCGAGTTGCCTGAAGCATAGTTGAAACCTCTTGAGCACATTCCGAAGCCTTGAGGAAATGATCATCAATCTCACCCAACACTTTAAAGAAATCCTCACTGTTGCCAAACCCCCCACCAGATTTTCTAATCTCCGGCGCCGCCGTGTTGGAATGCATAATAAAGTGTTTCTCTTTTGCCGGAGTTTGCTCCATCCCTTTCAACTCTTCAACACCCCCATTATTATCCTCTTCGGTCTCCTCCACTGACCCATCATCTTCTTCCTCAACTGATCCTCCCGCCATAAAGAAATAATCCCACGCCGCGCCTTTACTCTCCGGCGGAGGCGGAGGCGGAGGAGGCAGCGCCGCCTCTAGGGGCGTCTTCTCTGTTGTTTCCTCATCTATGGAGGAGATGCCCTTAACCATCTTCCCCGGCGGCTTCGAGATCTCAGGCATCGTCATAGCCCGCTGCAGCGGCGGCATTGGGGAGAAATTGGGTAACGGCGGCGGCGGAAGGGGCTCGGAACTCGGCTGCTGCTGGGCGTAGTGATTGAGGGCGGCGCCAGTGTTCTTGAGAGCCATGGCGTAGGCGGAGTGGACGGAAGCAAAGGCGTTGCGTACGGAAACGGCTTCTTTCATTAGATTCCTCCTCTCCTTGCATCTCAAAACCGATTCTTCGTTCTCTAATCTTGATTGCCCGCATCCCATTGCTCCTTCAATTCTTCCCTCAATTACATATACTCTGCAGATTATACAAAAACACGAGAGTTTTTTAAAATGCTGTACTGTAATCTACATACACACATACAGACTATATATAGAGAGAGAGCGAGAGAGAGAAAGAGAATGAGAGACTGAGTGGGGACTGGAAGGAGCACTGATGAGAACAGAGGGAACAGAGCACTGTACTGACAAAGGGAGGGTGGGCTGGAGTTTGAGACGCACGCGCCCAAGGGGGTAAGATTTTGAACCCACCAAAATATTTTTTTGAAACTAACCCACCAAAATATAACGGTTACATTTTTCTCAGGGTGAATTTTACGGCGTTACTTTAATAGGTAAGAATACTCAAAATATCATTTTTAGTCCTTTGATTATAATACATGTATAAGTTTTAGCCATTGACTATTAAAGTTTTTAATTTTGGTGCATGACTATTCAATTTGTATTACATTTGGTCTTTGACTATTAATATTTTTAAATTAAGTGTATGACTATTCAATTTGGATTCAAAAAAAAAAAAAAGTATGACTATTCAATTTGTATCACATTTAATCATGCTGTTAAATTTTTCGGTCAAAATTTTGACCAAGTCACCTGTGACAGACTAATTTATTTAATTTTTATTTTAAAATTATTTTAATAATTTTTAAATTAAAAATTTTAAAAATAAAAAAATTTATAAAATGACAACCACCTCACCCCCTCCTCATTCGTCTCAACTAGAGACGAAGGAAGAAAGGGGTGGGGTGGCCGACGTTTTCTTTCTCTCCATTCTTCCATTGTCTTCACCAGAGACGAAGAAAGAAGGGAGGAAGGAGAACCACCCCCCCCCCCCTCCCCACCCCTTCGTCTCCGACGGAGACGAAGGAGGAAGGTGGGGGGCATTTTTTCATTTTATTATATTATATTTTTATTTATAAGTTTTTTAATTTAAAAATGTTTAAAATAAAAATTAAATAAATTAGCCAGTCACTGGTGACTTAGTTGGAATTTTGACCCGAAAATTTAACGGCAGGACTAAATATGGTACAAGTTGAATAGTCATGCACTTAATTTGAAAATGTTAATAGTCAAGGATCAAATATGATACAAATTGAATAGATGCACCAAAATTGAAAATTTTAATATTCAAGGACTAAAACTGATACATGTATTATAGTCGACAGATTAAAAATGATATTTTCTAGTAAGAATACTACAGAGTATTATGCGTATGTGTCGAAATGGGCTTGCTGAGCAGGTCTGTTAAAATCCGCCATATAGTGGATTTTTTTCTTCTAATTTTTGAGTAGTTTTTGTAAATGTGATTATGAAAAAGAAAATGAAAAAAAAAACAAAATATATTGAATTAAGAAAAAGAAAAGAAAAACAGAAAAGGAACAACTTGCGCCCCAGCTGGGCGCGAGTTGTGTCTTCACACATGAGTTAGACGATATTTCTTCCAATCATGTGGGTCCCACAAGTTGACAAAAATCACGAAATTGCAGAAGGACTTTGCACCCTCTCTCTCTCTCTTCACTCTCTGTTATCCATGTTGGTATTTTTTTTGTCTAAAAAACAGTGAATAATCTACAGATGTGTCATGTGGATGCTCTAAAAAGTTCGTTAAAATACAAGCAATGTTTTAAGTGCAGTTCACTTTTGATTTAGATTGGATCAAAATGGATTCAAGTTCTCCTAAATAAGATTCAATTTGATATATTTATACACTACTCAAAATGAATAATGTGTGAATGAGAAATTGATTTTCAAAGTGTACTCATTAAGTTGATAAAAATGGAATTTTTGAAGACTTTTAAGTAACATTTGTCATACAATAAAAAGCATATATATTTGTACTAATATATATATATATATATATATATATATATATATATATATATATATATAATTTAACTTTTTTAGGAATTTAAATTACGTAGCATAAATACTCTTTCTTTCGTGTGCAAGGTAATTGCAAATCGAATCTCAAGATGAACTTCAAAAACTTAAACTCGTGCTTGTTAGTCAGTGTTATTTATTTATATTTTATAGTTATATTATGTGGTTTAGAATAGGTTGACTTGAGCTTCTCTGTCTGTTAGGAGAACTCTCGTAGCTTATGTTTTATATAATCTGTAATTCCATTCTGTTATGATTAATTAATGAAATTCATATTCCAATTTGGTATCAGATAGGTTACGATCTCTCCGTTTCTCTCTCCACCTTACCCCCTCAATTCGAATCACAAACAAACTTCTCATCGAAAATATGTCGCAGTCATCCGAACGTACGATCTCCGCTGGTGGCTCACCTTCACCGGCGGTCTCCAATCAATTGACCGGCGCTCACCATCACTTATCCATCAAGCTCAATAGCAGAAATTTCCTCTTTTGGAGGACTCAATTAATACCTTTTTTGAGAGGTCAAGACCTGCTGGGGTACGTGGATGGCTCCACGCCATGTCCACCGGCCACAATTGCGGCAACCGCGACTGGCGACTCCGGCTCAGGTGCAAAGCCGGCGTCCGGCGTATCTCCCAATCCGGCGCACAAGGCCTGGATCCTCCAAGATCAATCGATCCTGTCGATGTTGATCTCCTCCAATTGTGCTTACCTAGATATATCAAAAATTCTGCCTTCAAATCCCATTTGCCGAACTAAAGGGGGTGTATTCAATCATGACTTTTGTAGAGTTTTAAAGACTTTTAAAATGATAGATTTTAATAAACTTTGATTGACTTTCATAGAGTCGTTCAAAACTTTTTAAAACTTTATAAGACTATAAAAATCTATATAAAAAACATTCATAGACTTTTATCAACTTTTTATTTTAAAAAGTCTAATAAAGTCATTGAAATTCTAAATTGAATACATCCTTACAAACTTTCAATGATTTTGATTCTTATCATTTATATAATTTTCTTACAAAACATTTATAATATATCATAAAATTTTTTTATTATATAATTCTTCACCCACATCAACATTCTCAACATTATTATTTATCTCCATAGTATGTAGGTTGAGACTTATATACTAATTACTTATATATATTATTAATAAACATAAAAAAAATTTATTTCATTAAAATTCATAACAATATTGAATAATAAAATTTATAATAAAAGAATTGATCAAATAAAATATTTAAAATATAATTACAAGTTGCATAAAATAAAAAAAAAATTAATATTTAATATATATATATATATATATATATATATATATATATATATATATATATATATATATATATATATATATATATATATAAATAATTATACTTGATAGATTGTTAGGCATCACGCAAAGAACTATTATTTGCAATAAGAGACTCCGAACAACAAGAAGGTGCTATTGTTTGCAACCCCAAATTGTTGTTGCGAACAGTAGTTCGCTATTCGTAGTAACTTGTTAAAAATAGGAAAAATATATATTACGAATATAAACATAAAAAGAATAAAAATCAAAATATATAAGTATTTATATGAATATTATGAATCATATACTAAAATTTGATGATGAAAAATTTGCTTTGTTCATGTATTTAGGGAGAATTAGAGAAAGTTAGGGATAAAAAATTCATTGAAAAAATAAAAATCAATATAAACATGCAATAATGAAGTAAAAATAATTTTATTTCAAATTTTTAGAGGAAGATTGTAAAGTTTAAGAGAGAGAAAATAAATTGGTAGAGTTTTAGGTATGAGGAAAAAATATGGGATAATGAAGAAAAAATTAATTTTATTAAATTTAGATAGGTTTATAAAGTTTAAATAGGGAGAGAAAATATTCAAAGTTATTTGGAAAGAAAATTTTGAAATCTTGGGGTTGTTGGTTGGATTTCAACTATTTATATTTGAGAAGGAAAAGTCTACAAAAGTCTTAAAATTAAAAAGTCTACAAAAATTCATAACTTTTTGAATACCACATGACTTTTAAAGACTCTCTAAAAGTCTTAATCGAATACCACACGACTTTTAAAGACTCTTTAAAAATCTTGATTGAATACCGCCTGACTTTTAAAGACTATCTAAAAGTTTGAATTGAATACCCCTAAACTTTTAAAGTTCATAAAAGTCTGTTTGGTATAATCTGTAATTCCATTCTGTTATGATTAATTAATGAAATTCATATTCCAATTTGGTATCAGATAGGTTACGATCTCTCCGTTTCTCTCTCCACCTTATCCCCTCAATTCGAATCACAAACAAACTTCTCATCGAAAATATGTCGCAGTCATCCGAACGTACGATCTCCGCTGGTGGCTCACCTTCACCGGCGGTCTCCAATCAATTGACCGGCGCTCACCATCACGTATCCATCAAGCTCAATAGCAGAAATTTCCTCTTTTGGAGGACTCAATTAATACCTTTTTTGAGAGGTCAAGACCTGCTGGGGTACGTGGATGGCTCCACGCCATGTCCACCGGCCACAATTGCGGCAATCGCGACTGGCGACTCCGGCTCAGGTGCAACGCCAGCGTCCGGCGTATCTCCCAATCCGACGCACAAGGCCTGGATCCTCCAAGATCAATCGATCCTGTCGATGTTGATCTCCTCCAATTGTGCTTACCTAGATATATCGAAAATTCTGCCTTCAAATCCCATTTGCCGAACTAATATTTAAATTTTAATTTTATGAAAAAAAAGTCCTACAAAGTTTGACCAAACTTTGCTCCTGGAGCAAAAGGAGATGCGGGTTAGTAAATTTTAAAGGGTGAGGTCTTGGGTAGTGGGATTAGGTAATTCCTATTTCCTGAACAACATATCTATCTATCTATATATTCTCTCTACTCTAATATACTCTATTTACTTTATCATTATATTTACAAGCATCAATCACTACGTGTTATATTATTAAGGGTTAAAATGTTAAGCCAGCCTCACGCGGTGCTCTGTCGGGTCGGGGTGTGGGGGCCCTTAAGGTTAGGGTTCAGTCTTTTGAAAGAAGGGTTAAAATGTCTAAAATAGCACACACTGACGTATCTCCTTCTCTTTCTTAGGCTATCTTCAGGGGCGGAGCCAGGATTGAGTAGTGCAGGGGGCCAACTACGGTTGAAATACTAAATCAAATACATTGATATCCAGTTAACATATTTCAAAATAATCATTACATTACAAATTTAATAAAGTTTAGAATAAATAAT